GGATTGCTGGGTCATAGGGAAGCTCCATGTTTAGCAGTTTGAGGAACCTCCAAACAGTTTTCCATAGTGGTTGTACTAGCTTGCATTCCCACCAGCAATGCAGGAGAGTTCCTTTTTCAGGGAGCCTATTTTTAAGAATGTAAGATCTTAAACTTTTATAGGAGCATTTAATAGTGAACAGGCACATTCAATAAATGCCTGTTGAATGTAAATTTATAGTAGGATTTGAAACACTTGTCACAAATGTAGGGTTTCAGTGGACTGAAATTCAAGGTGAACCAACAGTGCTGATGACCAAGGAGTAGTGAAATTGGGCTGCATTAACTGAGTATGTTATATATCAGAGATGTACTGTCTTTGTACCTCAAACCATATCAAGTATATTGGGTTACATTTTATATATAATATTTTAAAGGGAATACTATCAAAGTACAACAGATTATAAGTGAAGTATCCTGGATACTAATTGTTATTATTCATACCATGAGAACCATTGGAAGAATTAAGCTATGTTCAGTATGTCTAGCCTAGGGGGAAAAAAAACAAAAAAACTATTTTTAGAAGATCTATCTAGGACCAAAGGATGAAGTTAGCTAAGTTTAAACTTTCTCTCTTGGGCCTTCCTGGTGGCACAAGTGCTTAAAGTTCAACACTATGAAGCGATCCACAGCCACTGTAGCACCAGTTCAATCCCAGACAAGGAACTGACTTACATGGAGCACACCTCTCCTGTCTCACTCGCTGCTCCTCTCAGCAGTGCATTTCAGTCTGTTCTGTTCCCCACTCTGTCTCTGATGAATCCTCCATTCTCCACACTTCTGGCCTGTACCCCAGTTCTTATATGCATAAATAAATAAATCTTCAAAAAAAAGTCTAAAATTTTATTTTCTAAGAATTACTGATATAATTCATAACATTAAGGGAAAAGTTTGTTTTTGTTCTAATTCTAATATTCTGAAATCCAAGAGAAAATGAACGCAAATTAACTAGAAACTAACTTTTAGAAAACTGTCAATTTTAAATTCTAAATATATGGACCCAAAGACTAGGGACATAAAGAAACAACTTGAAGAGCCAAATTAAAACAAAATTGACATGCTTTTATATGTTATCTCAGGAAATCTGAAGTTGAACATCTAGGCAAAAAGTCAGATGTAATTGTAAACTGAATATATATATATATAAATGTATATGTGTGTATAAATACACACATATATTTATTTGCCTATATACACATTTTTTTGCCTATCTATTTAAATTCTGTGTTCAATTTATTCCTGTTTTGACATACACATGACTGAAAACTCAAATATCAGACAAATAGATAATAGTGTGGAGATGTAACCTGTTGTATTTATGCTTAAATCTTGAAATCCCTATGAGAGTTCATTATATTTGTATGTCTATTTCCTACTTAAGACTGGTGTTAAAAATTTTGCTTGTCGGCTCTCCCTGGTGGCGCAGTGGGTTAAAGCACAGCACTAAGAAGCTAAAGCCACTTCCGCATGAGTTCGATCCCCGCCTGCCCCGGAGGTGACCACATGGCGTGGCAGACCTCTCCTGACCCGCCCACTGCTCCCCTCAGCAGTGTACTTCATCCATCTGCCTGTTCTGCTCCCCACTCTGTCTCTGGTGAAGCCTCTCACCACCCCGAGCCTCTGGCCTGTACCCCAGTTCTGTATGCGCAAATAAATAAATCTTTAAAAAAAAAAAAATTTTTGCTTGTCATTTTCCTAAGGAAATAATAGCCAAACTTTATAAAAACTCTCTATTATTCTTCCTTGAACCATCCATTTGAAATTGAAAAGTTGTTCAAAAGGTTAAAAAATGAATTCACCTCCCCTATCTATAATTCTGGCACTAAAATCCAAATTTTATGGCTGTAATTTTGTAAAGAGCAGAAAGACATCTTTACTTTAAACATAAAAGTTCAAATTTAACTCAATCATTCTGTTATACACACATGTCAAGTATATACAGCTCTGAGGACAGGAACACTCAGCATTTGATTCTGAAAAATAGCAGTTATTTGAATGGTGACTGAAAAGTAGCAGTAGCAATACAGTGACCTTTCTGTGATAAATTATAGAATACACAGCTTTAAGAGCCAAGATTCTATGAAATCACTAAATTAGTAACAATTGATTATATCAGTACATTTACTAAGCCCTCTTTATCAACAAATGTGAACAATACCTAACACCCTTATGAATTTTTTGGCTATGGATTATAACACTTTTATTACTAATCCAAAAGCCAAAAACTACAATTTGCTTTTCTCTCATTTGGAACTTTAATTTGTACAAACCAATTAAAAGAAGGAGCCAGAACATTTGGCTGGAGACTATTACCATCAAACCCTTTTCTCCTTGTCTTCAAAACCCCTAATAGGGCCCCTTGGTGGCATAGGGGTTCAAATTTCAGCACTTTCAAGCTATGTCCAACAGCTGCAGCATGAGTTTGATCCTGGCCAGGGAGCTAACACACATGGCACAGCAGAGATCTCCTGCCTCACCCACTACTCCCCTCAGCAGTGTATTTCAATATATCTGCCTGTTTTGCTCCCATTTCTGTCTTTGGTGAATGTTCTCATTTACCACACCTCTGGCCTACACCCCAGTTTCTATATGCATAAATTTAGTAAATAAATCTAAAAAAAAAAAAGATTCTAAGCTTTATTTAATGACTCTTACATTTTTATTGGGGGAAAAATTTCATATCATTTACCATATTGATTATTGATTACTTAATACCAGTAGGTCTACATTAATACTATTTATAATTTAAGATTGATAATATTTTCTACAAAGCTATGACTATACTATTATTATTCTATTGCTAACTTGCTAACATTTATAAAAACCTTATACCTTATAAAATTTATACCTTAAAAAACCTTATACCTTATAAAATTTATATCTTAAAAACTGGTCCAATATGAAAATGATTTTTGTGATTTCTTTTCACTTGCCCAGGCACTGATAGCAGGTAAATATGCCTTCTGAATTACAATGTAATTTGTCTCCTTCATTTCTGTTTATAGGACTACAACCTCTGTCAGAGCTGAATGGTGAACATTCTTCTGTATTTCCTGTTTCCTATTTATAAAGTCATGTCTTAAGATTTTTGTTATTGCAGACTTAAATGATAGAAGAAATGAATTTAACTGCTGGCAATTTCTATTTAACACAATAATGTACATGGTAATTTTAAATTCACCTAACAGAAATATAATTTAAGCATATATACACCAAAATTCAAAAAAATAAACAAACGTACCTCAAAGTCGACAAAAGGGGGAAATATAACTATGTCTGAATGTTTTATGTTAAGGAACAAAAATTTAAGAACTTTGAAAAAATTTCACCTCTTTACTCAATTTGTAAAACGGAACCCAAGCCACTCACTATTAGTTAATCTCAACAGCATCTAACATATGGAATACTAATAAGGTACACCAATACTTAGTAATAATAACACTGCTTCTGGAACATCCACATTCTCCAAGTGAATAGCATTAAAAACAAAACAAGCAAAATGAAACACTACCTTAAAGAAACAATGGCATTAAACAAACATGAAAAAATGACTACTACTATTATGATTTTCCTGGGTATTATTTAATTGGAAACATTACTTTTTTAGTATTTCAGATTATAGGGAATTCCAGGCATTCTACCTAGAATAGACAACAGAAAGAATTCTGACTATAAAAAAGAACAAGTAAAATAAGAATACTCAAGAGTATCCAAGAAACGTTCTTTGCTTAGAGTTTTATGAAAGAGATGAAATGAACTAAGAATGTGGTTCTATCTGTGCTTTTTCATCTGTTACAAATTAAATGATACTTATTTCCTTTTGAAAAGTAGAGTGCCCTCTAGAATCCAGTAGAAGAGCAGTATCAATTGAAAAAGATTTCTTTTTCTAAGCCTTAAGATGAAGAAAAACTGAGCTGGCTTCCAAGGGACCAATTAAGAAACCAAGCTAGTATTATATAGGATTCTTTGGGGATTTGCAAATGTTTCCATTCTAGTTTTCCAGAGACAAAAATATAAAGGGAAAAAAGTAGAAAAAAGAAGGAACCTGTGGCATTTGGTTACTATTCTTTAAACTGTTTCTTATTAAAAGTTTTTAACTTAAAAAAATTTTTTTTTCTAATTATGCATACAACAACCAGGGTGCCGGGCAGAGGTGTGGGAGGTGAGAGGATTCACCAGAGAGAGTGGGGAGCAGAACAGGAGGATCCACCAACATACACTGCTGAGGGGAGCAGCAGGCCAGACAGGAGAGGTCTGCTGCACCATATAGGTTAGCTCCTGGCCTGAGAACTCATGCTGCCACAGTGGCTTCGGATAACTTGATAGTTCTGACTTTCACCCCTACACCACCAGGTAGACTCAAAAGTTTTCAATATTTAATTGATTTCCACCATGTTGATTCCAATGTCTTATCTTCTATGATCATGTCACTTCTTGACACATCAAGAATTATCTACTGGGTCACAATGCAAAATGGTATGAAATAATACAACAAGCATCTGAAGCACTATTTTTCACTTAAACAGGGCCATCCCATAATATCAAAAGCAGAAACAGCTGCAACTGAGTTTCTTTTATTTAGATATGTAGAATTAGGTCTAGTAATCTTTCTGGTAACTAATTTTGGAATCTCAAGGAAGGATCTTATATACTTATGATGACCTAAATTGGAGAGGTTTTCTAGTGGCATATTAGTTTCATCTAACTTGTTAAAATTATTCCCTTAGATTTATGAGTTTCTTAAAAATTAAATGAATAAGGGAAAAATTTTCTTATTCTAAGAAAAAGGTATCCATGTGTATATATAAAAGGAAGGAAATGGGATTGCCTTCCTGTTTTTTCCAATCCCTGAAGTTAAACAGCTAAAATTTAAGTATCTTGCAGAGACAAGTCTGAAGTATAATCTAGTGAAATTTAAAAACAAAAGAAAAAAACAAAACAATTTCTCAAAAGGAAAGGATAGTACCATAAAGGGATTGTCAGTAAACCTGAAAATGATAACCAAAAAGACCTTTACTTATTTGTAAATCCCTTGAAGGAAAGGGGTTTAAAATTTTGATGCTCAGACAAGAAATGATAGAGCCTGGCTGTAAAAAAAAAACAAAACAAACATACTCAAGGTAATGACATCATTCTTGATCTAAATTGGTTTAAATTAACATGGAACCTCAATTTGTACAGGGCATGGGGAGGTTAGAAAGTTGTCATCCAAGGGTGAATAGAAAAGAAATTCAGAAATGAAGTAAAACATGCATGTAAATTTTATAGCAATGGTAGGAATGATAGTTAATACTTACAAGAATGCTCCTCTATAAAGAAGGGACTGCTTAATTGTAGCCTTCATTTTATTATTAAACCTAGGAAAAAGAGACATCAAAAATCTGATCTTATTTTATGTAAGTTAGAAAAATTTCAACTGAAGTTGACAATCATTGTTTTTTGATCTTAACCCAGCACAGAACAATCACAGATTATAAGGGAGCTGCATTCAGTATTTTGGTCCACAGCATTATAGTTGTTAAATTCACTTCTCTATTACTATTACCTTACTGAGGCTTAAAAGTCAACTATGTAAATGTAACTAGAACTCATACTTTAATGTCTAATTTGGAATACACTAAGTTTCTGGAGGACATAATTGTATATACTTTCATACTTCAAGATAAACCAATCTCTCTCTCAAACATACATAAACATACTATGCATACAGGCAAAATAAAAAACTCCATATATTGCCCAATTCCAATAATTCTATTCTAATACTATGTAAATGCAATGCTTAAATTGTAGCTTAAATTGCAGAAATATCTACAATATAAATTGCTGTAAATATGTGATCTATGACAAAACAAAAAAATAGTTATGAAATTGCCTGAATTAAAAAGTAAAACAATAGTGATTAAGTGAAACTGCTTCTATGGTTGTCCTTTACTTTCAAAAACAGAAAAGATTAAAAGTCATTATAGTATGAAAAGGAACCATTACAGCCCATTTAAAAAAAATTTTAAAAAATATATATCCATGAAAGTTAGAATGTTTGAGTTTTGGGGGCTATTATAATAAGCTATATGTAGTCCTCATACCAAGTTAACAGTGAAGTACTTACCTTACCACAAGACATGGAAAAGAAGCAATAAACCTATCCATGCTATTACTGGAGTACTTACTACATCTTCACCAAATAAGGATAGCACGCTTTTTTTTTTTAAATGTGAAAAAACAGACATTTTAAAAATCCATAGAAAAAGCAAATAATATAAAAATGAATGAATCCTCACATCCTACCTATGGCCTCAATCTATTTTGGATTTTAATATTCTACCATGTTTCCTTTACTTTATTTACTTTGTTTTTTAAAGAAAAAAGATTGCATATATATATCTTCTAATATACAACCACAATTCTGAATTTGGTATTGATTTCCTCTGCATATTTGTACACTATTAAAACAAACTCACTATTGGCTCTCCCTGGTGGCGCCGCGGGTTAAAGCACAGCACTAAGAAGCTTAAGCCACTTCCGCATAAGTTCGATTCCAGCCTGCCCCGGAGAAGCTCCATTTGGCCATGACATGGCAGACCTCTCCTGACCCGCCCACTGTTCCCCTCAGCAGTGTATTTTGTGATCTGTCTGTTCTGCTCCCCACTGTCTCTGGTGAATCTTCTCACCCTCAGCATCTCTGGCCTGTACCCCAGTTCTATATGAATAAATAAATCTTAAAAAAAAAATTCACTATTACTACAAATATATCAGTGCTTTCAAGCTTTAATGTCATACTATATATGTGTGTACATTATCATACAGTATTATCTTTTACAACTGGTTTTTGTTTGCTGAAGGACATCTATCCATGAAGTACACAGCTTTCACTATAACAGCGGCATAACAGTTCATCAATGACTGTATTATAACCTACCACTTTCTATTCAAAGTTAATCTAGAATATTTAGAAAGATATTTGTGCTTAAGCCTATGTATACCCTCAACTTTGCTATGTGATAGTCAAACACTTCCAGAATATAAAAAGTTCCCTTTTCTTTAACATTTGGAAAGCGTATTTAAGAAAAATAGCCATTAACTAGTTGAAAACTTAAAAAAAAATTAAGTGATTAATTTCTTCTGTTTTCATGATGTATAGGTCTATCACAGGCATACTAAATATTCCAGACAAATAAATAAACTAAAATTTAGCCCCAGGTACTTGTGCAGAAACAAAGCTCTGATTATGTATTTTCTTCACATGATTATGAAAATGTCAATACCTAATCTGTACAAATAAGATTCATAATTACCTAGCTTAGATCCATGAGAGCCAAAAAGAACTATAACAAAAAAAATCAGGCTATATAAGTGGCTTATTGATATGATGGATTTTCTCTCACTTCATTTTGGGCTGTGTTTTTCATATATAGCACTTCTAAAAAAACTCAACTTGTGAAAAACACAAAGTGCTGAGCCCAAGCTCAAGAGATTGATTCACCGGACATCGAAAAATATTTTATTGTAGATTTTTCTGCTACAGGTGGTCCACAGACACTTTATACAATAGTTAATTGTAAATACAAGGCATTTGCAATATAAAAGATTATGTAACTCACTTTTTGGTTAAGGATAGGTAACAGCAATTAATGCTACATGTAAATTACATCAATCATTAAGGAAATTACTCTCTTATTACTCAAAAAAGATCTATCTTAAATGTCAGTATGATTTAATTTGACTTCATATTTTTAGACCAGATTGTGGGTTCATTTATTATTTTAGATAACTGAACATTCATTTACAGATTAAAAAAAAAAAGTACTAGTAAGGAACTAATATTCCAAGTTTAATGAGAATAAAAGTGATTAGGATTGATCTCAATGAAGATGACCCAGTGAGAAACTAAGAGTACATTTTGAAAAGAGTATTATTGCAAATACCAGACTTTAAATTGGGTCATTAGGCTTTTTAACATTAATATAAATTGTTTGTAGATTTCCAGTAAGAATGCTACATTAGAACTAATTGAAGTCCAGCATCTACTTTCTTGTAACTATATTCCACTGGAATTAGAAAAACAAGAGGTTAAAAATATAAACAAATATTTAGGTAGTCTAAATGTATGCAAACTGAAACAATACAAATATTTTTATGTTTTTGAAATTACAAAGTCCTAGTTCCAAAAGATTAAGTATAAACTGAACTTTTCAGTTCAGTTAAAAAAAAAAAAGATTATTTATTTATGCATACAGAACTGGGGTACAAGTCAGAGGTGCAGGGGCAGTGAGAGGATTCACCAGAGACAGAGTGGGGAGCAGAACAGGCAGATCGATGAGGGGAGCAGTGGGCGGGCCAGGATGCTGAGGGGAGCAGGGGGTGGGCCAGGAAAAAGTCTGCCATGCCATGTGGGTCACCTCCGGGGCATGGATCGAACTAGCACTGAAGCAGCTGTGGCCAGCTTGCAGTGCTGCATCCTAATCGACTGTGCCACCAGGGAAGGCCCATCAGTTCAGTTTTTAAATCTTTTTTTAAAAAAAAAGTTTTCAGACATAAAATTCAGGCATATTATTTTACTAGTGAGGAAAAAAAGATACTAATTTCCATCTGCAGTCTGCTTTGTTTTTAGTTATACACAGAAGGGTGTATTGTTCTTTTTAGCAATAATGAGGTAAAAATTTGGCTTCATTCAGACCAAGCTATAAACTGAATTTCAGAATATGGTTCAAAAAAGTGAAACACTGTGGCCATAGTCAACTTTCTTTTCCTCAATATACTATGTAATTTGTGTTATCACAAATTACACTTCCCCCTCACCCCCCCTTCTACTAGCTTAAAAGTGAAAAACATGCCACATATACTTCCAGGAGACCAGGTCCATTAAAAAATTAATAAAAATTAAATATACTAAAACCACAAAGTAAGTAAGTGAAATATAGTATCTAAGACCTATAAGCATTTACTATTCTGTCTTTGCTGCTTTGGAAAAAAAGTATCTCTTTGTCATAGGCTGGATGTACTGCATTGTATTATACAGGTTATACTGACAGTTGGGTCCTTCCAACCTGGTTTGCAAAAACTGGTGGGTGCAGGCTATTTTGGCCACCATTACTGCATGTAGATGATGCTACTCTGTACAACAGCTGACAAGCAGCAGCAACCTACCAGCCCCTGGTTCCAGGTGTAAGGGACAGGAACAAGGGCTGTACTAATACTTGTTTATTTACTGTTGCTACTGCTGCTGAAGCAGCAAGCTGAGAAAAGAAAATAGGATTCACAGAGGAAAAAGCAGTTTAGTCCAACCTATCTAGTAGATCTGCTTATATTATTCATTAATATAATTAAGGAGTTTTTCCTCAGCAAAATGAAATGGGGAGAGGGGAAAAGATAAAATTGTGCTGTTATCAGAATTTTCAGAATTCAGTCTCTCCCCCCAGCAATTATGGAAAATAACGCATCTAAACTGTAATCAAGGATAAAATCATATTTTGCTTATAAAAAGTTCCAGGCTGCCAGGTTCCACACATCTAATCATCACCATATGTTTGACATCAGACACTATTAGCAAAGAAATAAGATTTCAGCCATAAAGTTTTTACAAAATTCCAACTATAAAAAAAAAATTTCCACATGTAATTTACCTATTTTATTCAAGTATATATTATCAATGAGTAAAAAACCAGAAATACTTGTTTTAAATTGTTTATAGACATAATTTTAAATTTAAATGCAATTATTATCTTTCAACACCTTCAGTAATTTCTGATTCTGAAAAATTTACAAGTTAGGAAAATTTGGACAAATAAATTATGTTTTTAAGTATTAAAACTTGCTGATAAGTTTAATAGGTATTTTTATCTGGTACAGTCAAGAAGGCCAAATTTAAGATGCATTAAAAATATAAAATACAGAAATATTTAAAATTCAGGCAACATTTTATAAAAATAAAAAAAAAAAATGAAAGCCCAATCTTTTACTTTCATCAAAATTGAAAGATTAATTGTTGTTAGAGGTAGCTCTGGGAAAAATGCTGATAATAAAATATAAATGATCATGTACCACAGGGTAACAAAATAACTAAATATATTTAGTACAAAAACTAAGGGCTTAATGGCAAATACTAAAGGATTTTAAAATTTTAAAACAGTCAGAAACAGTAATAAATTTAATAAACTATTAACCAGTAGATTAATCTGTTTCAGCAACGACATTTGAAACAAGTTTCATGTTTTTCTTCTTTGGGACTCTAATCATGAAAATAGGAAAGTAAAACTAAGTCAAATCACATATGTCAATAAAATAAAAGTATGGCTTGTGGTACTGAGAACAAATATTCTACTTCAAAATGACATTTAATACAAATTTAAATCATCACATCTTTGAAAATGTTTATCAGAAAATATAATTTTGTTAAGAAAACACACAAAACATATATATACAATTTTTTCATATAAACAGAAACAATTTTTTAAATGGTTATATCAATTCTTTAATGAATCCTCAGCAACACATAAAATCTTGACTAAAGAATTATTAAAACTGACAAACTACTTAAAATACAAAATTTCCTTAAAAAACAAGCATTATGTATAAATGACAATTTCACGATTCTTCCTATGTAAATGTTAAATTACTCCTAGCTTATCCAAATATTCTATCTCCACCCCCAAAGATAACTATTTTCAATAGAATAGGAACTCTGACAGTATAACTATTTTAGAAATAACTGAGAATTTTTGCTTGAAACGAATGTTAACCCTGAAAATACACTTAACCAAAAATGTTAATACTGCATTGTAAGATATAATTACTTATTTATATTTATAAATAAGATACACATAAAGTAACAATAAATTATCTCTACCACATTCTGACTCAAGTAACTAATATATATCAAGGCTTAGTTAGATATAATCAGGTTTTCAAATTTAAAACAGCCAAAATCTTTACAGATGTGCTTTAACACATAAAGAATCATATGTAGCAATAAATGCTCCTATTAATCTATCTCCTAAAGTAATACCCTACTAATTAGGTTAAAGTTTCTCACCCCTTAAGAACTAACCAAATATAAGAAAATTTTAATATATGCATGGAAACTCTTTTAGATGTTAAATTATTTACTAAGCCAAAAAATTCTGAAGTTTATAAACCAGAATAGAGACCTATAAATGACTACAATTTTATGTTTCTAAATATTGATGCCCCAACAGCCAGTTTTAATAACTTCAAAGATCATGAACTCTCTAAATTAGAACAGTTTTGTAGACTGGTGTCCTTTTTTTTTTTTACAATATATAGTCAAGAGATCTGTTCTTCCGTTTCATTCACTTAGACTGTCTACAGGTACCTGGATTGAAAGTAATAAAATGAACCTGAATTTTTCTCCCCAGACACTCAGAAACCATGTATTTCACTTTTCACTTTAATGATCTCTAATCAAGGAAGCAACAGTTAAACTGGGAAAAATCTGTATTTATTTTCATCCTATTCAAACTAAGTTGCTTTTCCATAACAATCTCAAAGTTATGAAGACATTCTGTGCTTTGTATTTACCTCAAGCCTCTTTACATGACACTAATATTTTAGCTTCATCTTGATATCCATTAAATTTTAACATTTTATCTAACCTTAATTGTTAAGGCATTTCTATTCCTATCTTCGTAATAGCTAAAGACATAGAAAAACCTAATTTTAGTTTATTATTTTGATATGTTATACTTCAGTGTTCAAAAATGCAACATCTAAGAATCGATTTTAAAATCTTTTTAATACTGTTTAGAGATAAAAGCAATTTTATGACCTGATAATTACACTTTACTCTTCAGAATAATATTTTCCTTATGAAAATAAGCCTGTGTGATTTCTTATGACTTAGGTATATTTCTTGTATTTAAGTATATAAAGTAAATATATTTTTAAAAATTTCAGTGTATTACATTTTAGTATACCTCATTTTATTCAGCAAATAATTTATAAAATATAATTGTGGTTAATACTTTATCATGTAATACTGTATTATGCAAAAATTAAAATCCCATTCAATAACTTCATTTGTTACACTAGATTATCATGCAGAAAACAAAAAATGTTGATTAAGTATCTGTTATTTTCAGTTAAAAATATAAAAATAAAAGTAAACAATATGCTAGAAAAGTGGCTCGATGATAAAGTGTTTTGGAGGTAAAGACAGTAAGTCATCAGTTTTGCCATGCTACATTTTTAGTCTGCAACTTTTGATATGAACAACTTTAATATTTTACTCAGAGTATCTATGAGTAAGGCACTAGTTTTTGCGTAAGAAAGTGGATTTTTCAGTTTCAACTACATTGCCACTTTTGATTAGGATGAACATGGAATATATGATTTCTGTTAATAAACCTTTACTGATTTTTACTCACCTAAAAGTTTCAGTTTTACCAACTGTCTAGTCCAGTAACCAATGCAATGATATAAAATTGTTGTTTTAAAATTTGTTAATATACCTTAATCTCCTATCATGTTCCAATGCATTATGAGAGTGTTCAAAGAAGTTAGACTGTTCTCCAGAATTGGCTCTCTCCTAAAGGTCAAAACCTGCAATAAAAATGTCATGTATTATAGCATGAAGACACTCAACAGATTTCCACCTCCTGCAGTTCCACAGTTGATCCCTGAATACAGAGCTAAGGTCTTTCAAAATGACCCCAATCTTGCCTATGTTCAAAGAAACCCTAACTTGAAAATGTTTTTAAAATAGAAATAACTTGATTAGAAACACCTGTGATATGCTTTATCATCCGAAGCCTCTTCAAACAAATCAGATTAATGTGTTTCTGCTTTCATTTCTCTTTAGGGCATTCATTTTCAAAGCCCTATAGATGAGAAAAAGAGAGAAAGTGTGTGTGTGTTTGTGTGTGTGTGTGTCTGTTTTCACATGTGTATGTAGGAAGGTGTTAAAGGACTGGTAAAAAGGAGACTCCATAAGAAAAGTTACCAGAAATATAGTTTGTGCTTCTAAAACTCAAAAGTTACAATTTAAAAAAATTACTCAAGGGGTAGGGACATATTTTAAATTAACTTTCTTCCAAATTATCAAATTTTTTAGTAATAACAAAAATTACCATTAGTTTACATTTAATATTTCTGCCATGGCTGAGCGAATATTTATTGAGATTCCCAAATGTAGGCCTATATAATTATAACAAAATTTAGAATTCATTTTTTAAATAAATTAATATATTTATAAGTAATAAATGGATGTCTATTAGGCCAATAATTTTTTAATATTTCTAAGTAGAGGTGGTATAACCAAGTATATGTAAGTGGTCTTCATTTGTTTCACCAAAATCTTAATGACTGAGTGGTAACACAAATATTAATTATCAAATTACCAAAGGTTACAGTGTACTATATGTGAATCATAATGCTGAATTTAAGTATAGCTTAGAAAAAGAAATGAAAACCAAAGAACCTTTATTTCTCTGGGGCCAAATACTTGATTCTAATATGATGGTTCTTAAAAATATGTAAAAATAATTTCTAAAATTCTTCCTCAAAAGATTTGAAAGGTAATGTATCTTAACTTTTAAAATTACATAAGAGAAACAGAAGCCAATGTGCACTCCATGCTAAATGTTTCTGTCAGTAGCAGGGAAACAAAAAAATTACCACACAATAAAAAAACAAGAGAGATTCAGATGTAACACAAATAGAAAATCAAATATGCATTAACAAAATGATGGAAAAAATTATGAAATATAGTAAAACTCAAACTTACTACAAAACAGCTTATTATTTATTTACCCTTAGAACCCAGGACAAACATTTGAGTTCAAACATTCTTTAAGAGTAAGACAGTGGTAAAAAGTGGTAAACTCCTCATAATTTGATAAGAAATATTAAGAATAAAATTCAAATATATGTTAAATATCAGTTCCAATACTTGAAAAGTGTTTCTAAAAGGGAGACTCTTTAAAATGATTTACCTACCAGAAAATTGTATTTATGGAGATTCTACAGTCATTTATACATAAATCGACAGACAGGCATATATTAGTAATATGATATTCTAAAATTGATATTACTTTTACATTAAGACAGACATGACTTTAACGTTTTAATGCTGACACTTGTAAAAATTAAGTGCAAAATCAGCTTAGGCTCATTTTCAATTAAAAAAAAAAGTACAGTTTATTACTGATTTCCTTTGGTTTTAAGAGGTTTGGGATATCCAAATTTCAGCAAGTTAGTATAAGTTCTAATTATATGCCAAAGTTAAATGTCTGGCACACAGTGTTTCTATTCTTGGTAAATAATTTTAAAAAGGAATAAAACCATATGCATAATAATACTCTTCTATGACAATTCTAAGATGTGCTTTCTATTTATTGTCAGACTAATGTGTTTTTTCTAAAAAAAAAAGATTTAGAAGAAATCAACGTGTGGATTGCTAAGCTCTTTAAACAAGAAAAAAAGTAAAATTTTAGGTCACAAATTTTTAAAATAAGAGACTAACATAGAGTAAGATTTTAAAAACTGCAAATTTATAATTTAATTGAATTTTTAAATTAGAGATATCAGGTAGAAGAAATAGCTAATAAAACTTTTTTTGTGGCAAACCAAATCAACTAGCTCACTTCTGGATTGCAGTATTGTGACATTATGAACAATTACTACATATCAATAAATAAATATGCAAAAGTTTCCATAAAAATAAAAATGTTAAATAAAGCACAATGACATGAGATCTAGAATATGAAAATGGTGTTGAAATTTTTATCCTTAGTTCTAATTCTTTATAAACATTAATCATTCAGAAAAAATATAGTGTTACATGCAAATACCTTAGGCTACATTTTCTAAATGCACAACTAGGACAAGTTAACAGTATTTAGACAAAGTCTAAAACTGCACTTTTCTTCAGATTTAAAAAATAGTATGAAGGCCAAACAAAAAGCAATGCTAGCAGGAAGACAGATACCTTACCTTCTCAAGTTCCCTGTTCCCCACAATATGTAAACACAGCTTAAAAAGGAGTTGAGCTACTGTAGCAACACCTTTCCCCACCATTGTTTTCCTGTGGTACTATATCTTTTCTATTTCTTACAATAGAAAAAATAAATTAGAACTCTCAGTTTTTACAGATATATACATAATAATAAATGTATTATATATAATATACATCGTACCTACAATTCCACAAAACTAAAACCCAAATCTCCTATTAATCTGGCATTCCAGAAAAATTAAAATATTTTGGATACTGTAGATTTTATTTAGGTGCTAGTGTGCTCTCAAACTTTAAGTGTACTATTTTAAATAAAAGAATTCACTTCTAATAATGGCTTACTAAAACAAAATGTACCTATGGCCTTCAAACAACATCCTCCTCCCAAATAAACCAAAGCACTAAAAAAGTATGGGTAAGCTTAGCCAGCTTGGTGAATTTAATTTTATCCCACCCCATCTTAAATTTTCCAATTCACATAATATAAAAATTGAAACTTAAAAAGCAAGAGTACAAAAATAAAATCTACTGGCTTTGGTATTTAAGTAAAATTTTTACTTAATTTACTTACAATTTCATTAAATCAAATTTTAGAGACAACTGACACCTTTTATGAATTTTCATGAGATGAATGCTTTGAAAAAAGGTAACTGAATTCTTGTAATGAAGGCACTATAAGTAGTATGATTTACAAACTCAACTATTTCACTTATTAATGTAAATTTTATTTATAGTCCTACAGAGATTTGTGATAGGCTCTTCTAATCTGAATGTTTTCTAATAATGCATATTTGATCACATAATGTAAGAATTGTTAAGTTTCAAAATTTCAACTCTACTCATAATGATATAAATTCCGATTAAATTTTAAAAATATTTTAAAAAGCACCTACAGTCATGTTGTTTGTAAGTGAGTTTAACCAATTTTCTTTGACAACCACACCCATCTTTATCAAGATGCAATGAAACGAAATGGCAAGTTTGGTAATAAATAGAACTTATACTGAAGGCTGTCTCAAACAATATTAAACAATACTCAACTAAACCACAATACTCATACTGTTGTATGTAGATTTCTTAATAAATTTATTAAAGGAATTAAATCGTAGATACGCACCTGTGTGTACTTACCTGTTGTATTTTTAAATTAACAAATTCCTTGCAAATAAGTTTTAAATCCACTGTATTGACTGAATTAGTAAAATCTACTGATTTTAAGTTGATTGTGAAAGTGTTAAAAAAATATATCGTTATAGAAATGCTGAGCTCATTAAGATATTGTTTTTAGTTAAAATAAAAAAATAACTTCTATAATCTGCATCCAACAAATACTAGTTATAATGAAAAACTTGTGTAAAAAGAAAAAAACCCTAAACCCTACAATTTTTAACTAATAGGGAACAGAATAAATATATATTCTCGTAATTTCAGTGAACAAAATTATAATTTTGAGAAAATTGCCCCCTCGGTTTTACTTTTACTATACATTTCAGAGGCACTCGAAAATTCTTTAGGGAAGAAAAAAACGATTAAAAGGGCAGTTAAAAAAATTCCCAGCCTTAAAGTTTCTCATATGTTTCCGTGGTTCTCTAGAAGTGTAATTTTTCGGAAAAACGAGAATTATAATCTAGTGTTCACCATTCAAACCCCCCAGTCCCGCTTCCTTTTCAGCCAATCAGGGCATAACAAGACCGGTGTCTTGGAGTTCCGTTAGACACAATTTGAAAAATATCACATTGCGCTCTCCTATTCTCTTCGGGGAAAAATTCTAAGTGAGGGCGGGTCCCCCAGTCGTTACAGAAATAACAAATCAATCTTTACATCAATTCCGGGGCGCGGGGGTGGTATTATTTCGGCCGCACAGAGTATTCTAGGTACGTTATTCCTCTTTTCGAACTGAATAAACTGCTGCAAAAACCATCTCCTGTATATTCGCAACCTAGAGCCGCGCGCCGCAGACGCAAAACATCACACCAGCAAAGGGTTAATCTTAATCTACTTGTGCTTTCAGCTCAGAAGATTCAAGTCCCAGCATATTTTAAATGAAAAATGTTTTACATATCTATAAAGTATTAAAGTTAAAACCGTCACTGGTTCAAATCATTTAAGTTGTCCAGTAAGAATGAGAACTATAAATTCACTAGGAGGAAAGGGAAATAACACCCCTCTTCCATTCGTTTCAGCGTCAAGAGAATTCCCAAGAAACAGTGAGGATTGCAAATTTACCGTTAAATTGTCCGTTAAGTTTTCGGGAGGACAATTTAGTTTCACAGATTGTTTTTTCCGTGGGACACGTTTCAGAAACTGGAGGAGGAAAGTCGTCTAAGAGTGAGACTCGGAGAAGGAAACACAGAGGAGGAAATCGCCCAATCTTTCATCTTACCCAAGAACAGCCCCGCCGCCAAGAAAGGTCAACACCGTGAGTAAACGACCAAAATCCCAAGTAAAAATCGAAAGTCCCAGCACCGTTCCTAGGAGCCCGCTAAATCCTCAAAAGCCTACGCCCGCCCCACCTGGCCCAAATCGGGAAGCCAGACGCCGTCAGTGCCACTCCAGCCCGGACCCCGGTGCGCAGAGCCCGAGGGCATCGCGGTGAAACTCACATTCCTGGGCACCTCGCGCTGTGGCGTCCGACACCACTACACCTTGCTGGGTCCGGCCGTGGGCACTGTCCACTCCACCGACCCGAGACGCGCTACTCCGGTCCCAGATTTTCCGTCGACCGTAAGTTTCTCATCAAGAGAAGACAGCCGTCAGCGCGCAGAGAAAGCTGCGATAAAAGCGGCCGGGTTCGGTGATGGGGGAGGGGGCAGGCGTCCCCTCTTCCTGTCAAGGAGTCGCGGCCCGAGGAACCCAGCCGGGGCCCGGCCCCGGCCTGGGGGTCTCGCTGACAGATCCGCTGGGCGGCGGCTGCTCCGCCGCAGCTCGTCCGCGTCCCGCTCAAACTGCAACTCCCCTCCCCCCACACCCCCGTCTCCGCGCGCTCCCGCCACATTCAGCCCGCCGCCGCCCACTCGCAGACACCCAATTACCCCAAGACTATCTTCTCGAATTTTTCGCTATTAAAATGACCCAAGTGCCCATTCTCTGCACCCCCACACCGCCTGCCGGTCCTACCAGTGCCACCTGAGTGCCACTCTGCTATTTCTTCACGCTCTTACCGACTGCTCCAACCCTAGAGAAGCTTCACGTACTCTCTTTCCTCAAAGTAATTTTCGGTGATTTTTTTAGTGATTTTTCCGGCTGCGTCCTAGCGGCGCTATACTCTCGGACAGGTTATCCAGTCTCTCCCGCTAGATTGATGAGATGAGGCATCACTCGAAAATGGCGCCGAAAGCGCAGAGGCTCCTCATTCAAATTCGTTAGAGCCAACCCCGCCGCCCCGGGGCATGCCGGGAACGCGGGCTGCCTCCACAGCTGTCAATACCGCTTCCAACCCCCACCCTTCGCGAGCTTGCCCGACGCTTTTGCGCACGCGCAGTCTTTCCCATTCCCCCGCGCCACGCACTTGCGCAGAATCAAGATCGTGCGCCACTTTCCCTTGCTTGGTTGGTGGCAGTTGTCCTACCTCTTTCCTTGCGCCTGCGTGCAGCTCCCCCTTTGCTCTGCCTCTGAAGTGGTGAAACCGTGGGGACAGTGGGTCCACAGATGATCTATCCAGTCGATAGTCACTTATTTTACTGTTCGAGGAAAACAAATGAAGGACTAGCTTAGGCGAAATGAAAAACGTTTCATTGCCAGTGTCTAAATCCCTCAACGGAATGTGTCTGAGACCTTATAAATGGATATACCTAGGCTTAAAACAGGTTTTGCAATGTCTACTCGGTGCAGAAGCTATCTTGCTTAAGCTTGAAAAGAACTTTATGAGGTAGGTACTATTATTAACGGCTTGCACACCAGCAAACCAAAGTTTCCTTAAGGCAGCACAGGTAGCAAGTGGATGAGTACACATCTGTCAGATTCAGGAACACAGGCAATTCTCTTCCCTACTGTGCGGTCCAACCTGAGCATACACCGGAAGCGTGGTTTCCCCTTCTCATCTGTGTGTGTGTGTGTGTAGGTACACGCTCTTGTTTCTGCGAGCCTTAACAATAGATTTGATGAGAAATTTTCTTTCCAGTCCTAGGCATAAACATTTTGCTTAATCTGGGAGGCCTGAATGGGCAGTCTTTGAATATCAATTAGGGTGATAAGAAAAAAGTTCATCGTGAAATAAATGAACTGAATCTAGTAAAGATGAGTTTCGGTTGTGGAACACAAGGATAAGATAGAAATAGCTAGATGCCACGTATTGCTGTTGGGTGCAGTACTAAACACCTTGCTGGTTGATCGTATATATTGCTCACAACAGCCCTGTGAAGTAGGTATCATCCTCATTTTACAAAGGACGCCTAAAGTCCTTGGAGTAAGAAACATGTCCCAAAGTCTTGCAGCTGATAAGTAGATGCACAATTGTGGCCAACTTCAAAAACCGGGCGTTATGATAGGTCAATAAATAATGTTGTTGATATTTTCACATGTGTCTTACCTCTTTTATCATTCATTTGCTCTGCAGAATTATCGGCCCCTAGGCTAGTTAAGATTTTGAGTTAAGAAAAACTCAGAAGGTGCCACAGATTCTCGTAAGTGATTATATTTTGTGACTATTTTGACTGTTTACTTTTTCCATGATTCCCATGTTTGTTTTTTTCTGGGTTATTGCCATATTTTTTCCAGTTTTTGTTGCACAGCACTTTACTCTGGACCATCGCAACACAAACACACCCCCAATCATTGTGAAGATTTAATAAGACAATGGATATGGAAGTGTCTATTAAGTAAGGGAGTGAAGAACTAGAATGGCTTCCATGATTGAAGTACAATTGGAACAGAAATGGATTTTAATAATTTGAGATAATCAGGAAGTAATATGGCAGTTAGCACCATTAAGAGTTAGAATTTGTGTTCAATATCCCTGAAAGTGATAATTTTGCCAGAGAAATTATTACTTGCCAAGTATTAGTATTGATTTCTATCAGATGAACAAGGATGTTCATTTGTGTCACTATTTCTTAAGAGTGACATGGCAACTGAATAGTTTTTATTGCATTTTCTAACTATTGAAGGAAAAAACCCAAGATCAGTCTAAAATAGGTAAAGTAAAAACATCCAGATATAACCACATATTGTTAGTACTTTAAACATGTAATGTACCTTTGAGGAGAGTACTGTAGGGGTAATCTAGATAGGGATATATTGGGGGACATATTGTCAGGATTGTACTAAAACTTCATAAATTGGTAAATCTTAAAAATTCTATCCACTTTTTAGATAGTCTGTCAAGAAATTTCTGAAGGGATGATGCTATTGATAAGTGATGACATTTGTTGAGTACTTGTTTTGTCAGTCATTGCACTAAGGATGTATATACATTTACCCCCTGAGCCCTTGTGACTCATAAGTTGTGTGCAATTCTCTCCAATTTGCAGACCACATTATATATGGAGGTCACTTTTAGAAGATTTAATTCTGTTATGTTTAAAATCTTACTTGATAAACTAAAAACCCTTCATTGGCTTCTTGACTAAAATGGGAGGAAACTAGAGAAAGTAACATTTCCTGTGCCCCAAGAAAAGCCCATTGGTAAAAATGTTTTGAAAATGAAGAATTTTATGTTTGACCACAAGGGGGTGCAAATTCCTGAGTTGAGTTTTAAAGGGAAAACACAGCATTTTAATTTTAGATCATCCAATTAACAGGTAAAAAGCTAGTGCAACACCTTCCATGAACTTTAATGTTCTACAAAATGATGTATTTTATGAAAATAAAGTACTTAATTAGGTCCGGTCTTCATCTTCAATAAAATGAAGAATTAATCTTGCCCCTCTTTCCACCTGCCTAGTTTGTGTCTTGTATACTTCTCTTTACTTGTCATAAGAGTAGAACTGAAGTCATTTAAAATCTGAGGTTTTCTTTGAAACCTAGAATGTAATCAGCAGCAAATGAGCGGTAAACATGGGTAATATGGAGAATATAGGCCTCATAATTTCCAGGCTCCCTGTCCCCCCCCCCCCATGAGTAAGCTACAACTAACAGCTAATTTATTTGTAAGCTACAATTAACATATAATTTGTTTAGAGAAATCTATGACAGGTAAAGGTCTTTTCATATTTTAAGAAAAAACACTTGTACTATAGAGCTAACTTCAAGTTCACAAGAAGTTGCAAAAGTAAATGTAGGTCAAAGAACACTCATTTTATTTACTTGCTCTTAGACATAGTCTCTCTGTTTCCACATTCATTTATTAAAAGCACTTATTTCCCTAACTCACTTGAGGTTAAGTTATATATATTCTGGCTCTTCACCCCTAAGTACTTGAGAGTGTATTTCCTACTTACTATAAATTTACACTGAAATACTTCAATCTGCATTCTAATTTTGTAAGTTAATCCTTGAAGCAGTTGCTCTTTCCCTTGTCTGTTATCAGGTACTATAATTGAGTGTCATGACTCTTTAGCTTCCTTATCTTTGGAACATTTCTGCAGCCTTTCTTTCCTGTGTGACCTTATAATTTGAAAGATACAGTCGTCCCCACCCCTTTTTAGTAGAACTTTCCTCATTTTTATTTTGTTCCCTCATGACTAGATTGAAGTTATTCATTTTCTACTGTTCAGGTAGATGGCTCTGCCCCTCTCAGGGTATCCCTTCTGGAAGCACAAGCTATCTGTCAATCCCTTGTTGATGATAATTTTGATCACCTGGTCCATATACAGCCTGAGTTTTCCACTGTCTTTTTCTTTTCTTCCTGGCAATTAAAACGTAATTTGTGAGGAGACATTTGAAGATGTATCCTGCCCTTTACAAAATATCTTTACTTAAATTTAATAAAGATAATTATCATTGATACAATTTTGCAAAGTGATGTGTTTGCAAAATGATTTAACAAATCTAGTACTCACTAATCAGCATTCTAGTGCAAACAAGAATGCTTCTCCCATGTTTACTACATGCATTAACATAAGAATTACTATGTTTTCCCATTTCTCTATTTGTTTTCATGAATGCTTTCTATATTTATAGGTGTACATTTTGTACAGGTTTCTCTAAACCACTCAATGGTAGATTATTTACATCATGATCTTATAGGTTATTTCTTCAAATTATCCCAGATTTAGGTAGTAGGAAAACCTTTCTTTAGTCTGACTCTTGTGTTTGAGCACTTCTTTGCTTTCTGAGATAAGACACTCCAATCTTAGACCTTTCAGGAGACAGAACTAGGAAATATATATGAATACATACATTCAAGTATACATACGCTAATGTATACACATATATTAATGATATGGATTTAAATTATTTTCATTATAATTGAAAAGATATCATGGAAACACTTACAAAATTCTGAATAAAGGCAGTGAAATCATAATCCACACAAGCAAGTCATACAATTTTTGTGTTCTCTTTTAGTCAATTTCTAATTAAAATATCTAATTAGAAACAATTTTGTGATTTCCACTTGGCATGTCATAAGCATCTGAATTACTATATTTTTCTTTCCACTTTATCTTTCTTAGTTTACTTATCTATTTGCTTATTTACTGGACGATTTCCTAGAAGTGTTTAGAGCAGTTTTTAGAGCAAAGGTATGTTTTGATGGATTTTATATGTATTGTCACAAAGAATCAATCTTCTTAAATATATGTGCCCTCCCTGGTGGCACAGTGGGTTAAATAAAGCACAGCACTTTGAAGCTATCCACAGTGACAACAGCATAAGTTAGACCCTGGGCCGAAAAGGTAACTCACATGATGTGACAGACTTCTGTCCTGCCTGCTGCTTCCCAAGCAGTATATTTCAGTCATTCTGCCTGTTCTGCTCTCCACTCTGTCTCTGGTGAAGCCTCTCACCCTTCACACCTCTGGCCTGTTCCCCAGCTCTTGTATACATAAGTAAATAAATCTTTTTTAAAAAGAAATACTCATTTACCAAAATCAGTACTATAATTTCATACATAGAAAGAATATTTAATCTTAACATATGTTCTTAAGTAACTTTAGCACCTGTTTCATATTTTATGTAAGATATTGAACATATATTTAAGCAAAATAGCCACAATACTTCACTTTATTGTATAATCTAGTGAGAGAAACAAGCATTAAATTAATAATCATACAAATTACAACTGTGATAAGTACTATGACAGAAAATACAGGATACCAGAAGTGTATGCCATGGAGACCTAACAGTGAAGTTTAATAAACGCCTTTCCAAGGCAGGACAGTATAACTGACAGTTAGGAATTTGCCTAAACACAAAGAAATGAAGAATATTTTATATAAAAGATGAATACTGTTAATGTTTTAGGATCAAGAACAATGCATGTATTTAGAGTTCTTGTAACATTTAAGAAAATTAGATCTCGGCCCTCCCTGGTGGCGCAGCGGGTTAAAGCACAGCACTGAGAATCTAAGGCCGCTTCCGCATGAGTTCGATTCCCGCCTGCCCCGGAGGTGACCACATGGCGTGGCAGACCTCTCCTGACCCGCCCGCTGCTCCCCTCAGCAGTGTACTTCGTCGATCTGCCTGTTCTGCTCCCCACTCTGTCTCTGGTGAATCCTCTCACCCTCCGCATCTCTGGCCTGTACCCCAGTTCTGTATGAATAAATAAATAA